CCCCCGAATATTAAAATAATTGCTTTTAAATACTTCCAAGTTCGCGTTCAACAAAGAAATATAATTAATTACTATAAACGATTGATTGATTAAATGATTTATTGATTTGATAATTGATTGATTGATTACGTTAACCCCAGGCCAAGATAATGAGCGAGCTGAAGCAGAACGGAGTATCTATCTATCAGTTTCCTACAGGAATTTATAATAATCGGATTATTTAACAAATTTTCCCTCTTAAAAAGGTTTTTTTTTCTTCTATGAATCCGGGGGAGAAATTAACGAATTTTTGGGTTATATGTAAAATAAAAATGGATGAAGAGGGGGGCGGGGAGAGAAACTTAGCAATCGACCAGTTTTTCATTTCCTCCCCGAAATCATCAAAAATATTTAATATACATAATTTTTCTGCATTTGCTAATCAAACCCTCTCCTAGTATTATATAATAAAGCTGGCCAGAGAGTTAAACCAAATTGGCTGAAATTTTATTAGGGTACCCCGGGGGTGACACAGACTATATAATGTTTTAAAATTCCATGGGCAAAGCCGAGTACTTGATTTATTATGTTATCTCATGACAGAGGACGAGATCGTGGCTGAGACTAACAAGGAGATGAACACTCTCCTTCCCTTCGCTGTTGTCGGCAGTAACGAGTTCGTCAAGGTGGGTTTAAAGAGTACGTTCGAGTCTTGAGAGATTGGTGGCCGGTAGGTTCACTGTGAACTTCTAAACAAACACATTTTGAAATAGATAATGTATCAAACTTAGGAACGTTGAGAATCTCGTTGAGAGCTCCCCTTTCAAAGAAAATTTTTTGATTTTAGTAGTGTAAGGGAGCGTTTTGGTGCCCCAAAAAGGTCATCTTTAAGGTCCCCCCCCGTATTTTTTTTAAGCATTTGTCATGTTTTTTTAAAAATTTTTTTGTCGTTTTTTCCCTTCCTTCTTCCTCCTTTCCCCATTTCCCTTCACTCTTTCCACTTTTCTCCTTCCCTCTTCCCCTTTTTCCTTTCCCTCTTCCCTTTTCCCTTCCCTCTTCCCCTTTTCCCTTCCCTCTTCCCCTTTTTCCCTTCCCTCTTCCCCTTTTCCCTTCCCTCTTCCCCTTTTTCCCTTCCCTCTTCCCCTTTTCCCTTCCCACTTCCGCCTTCTGCAAACATAAAATATATATCCCTGGGAACTTAAAATTTTCTTTTTAATCCGCTCTTGTTGTATATCACATTTCCTACTAGTTGTGAAAAAGATATGTTAGATTACAAATACAGATACGACGCTTTATCGATAGAACTAATATCCGATTGAACTAAAGTCAGCTGTTCACAAACCGGCGTTTAGAGCATTTAAACCAGTATAAATTTAATCATGTTGTTATGGCCTTATTAATAAACATATTCTTTCACATTTGAGGATTAAAGTCCTTTTGAACGTTAGTCAAAACTTACATGTAATAAAGATAAGTTTGATAACAACAACAGATACGATGCATGCGATATCGATTGGACTGATATCCGATTGAACTAAAGTCAGCTGTTCACAAACCGGCGTTTAGAGCATTTAAACCAGTATAAATTTAATCGTGNTGCAAACATAAAATATATATCCCTGGGAACTTAAAATTTTCTTTTTAATCCGCTCTTGTTGTATATCACATTTCCTACTAGTTGTGATAAAGATATGTTAGATTACAAATACAGATACGACGCTTTATCGATAGAACTAATATCTGATTGAACTAAAGTCAGCTGTTCACAAACCGGCGTTTAGAGCATTTAAACAAATATAAATTTAATCATATTAATATATATTTCATCACATTTGAGGACTACATATACCAGTATTGATCCTCAAATTTGAAAGTGCCCACATTGGATATCAATTTTAAGTTTTCAATATACTTCACACAAATGCTTCGATCTCAAGATACATACATATAATTTTTTTTTCAGGTTGGAACAAAGAACGTTCGTGCACGCCAGTACCCCTGGGGAGTAGTGCAGGTATACTAATTTGATTGATTGATTGATTGGTCGATTTCTTGATCAATAGATTGATCAATTTGCTAATTTTGATTAACATATGACTGATATGCTGAATTTAGAATTATTATGGATGCATTTAAACGTGTTTACTGTTTATTGATATGATTGATTATTTTACTGGCTGATCGATTTTCCAGTTGATTAATTATCTGGTTGATTAATTATGGAGTTGATCGATTAATTAACTTGTCAATTGATTATCGAGTGGATCGATTAATTAACTAGTCAATTGAGTATTGAGTTGATCGATTAATTAAACAGTTAATTGATTATCGAGTGGATCGATGAATTAACTATTCAATTGATTATTGAGTTGATCGATTAATGAAATTGTTAGTTTATTATCAAGTTGATCGATTAATTAACTTGTCAATTAATTATCAAGTTGATCGATTAATTAACTTGTCAATTGGTTATTGAGTTGATCGATTAATTAACTTGTCAACTAATTATCGAGTGGATCGATTAATTAACTTGTCAAATGATTATCGAGTTGATCGATTAATTAACCAGTTAATTGATTATCGAGTTGATCGATTAATGAAATAGTTAATTGAGTATCGAGTGGATTGATTAATTAACTTGTCAATTGATTATCAAGTTGATTGATTAATTAAATAGTTAAATGAGTATCGAGTGGATTGATTAATTAACTTGTAAATTGATTATCGAGTTTATTGATTAATTAACCATTCAATTGATTATCGAGTTGATCGATTAATTAAATAGTTAATTGATTATCGAGTAGATCAATTATTTGATTGAATGATTGATTAGGTAGAGAATGAGAATCACTGTGACTTCAAGCACCTGCGTGAGATGTTGATTAGAACGAATATGGAGGATCTCCGAGATCAAACACAAACCAAGCACTACGAACTATATAGAAAGGTATATTCCTAGATGTAATGTACTTTCCGAAAGGCTTTTTCCCAAGCGGCAATTTCCCATTGGTATTTTCCCAAGTTGTAATTTTCCATATTTGCAATTTTCCAAGTCTGTTCTAGGCGCAGCGCTCGGTCCCCTAGCCTTATCTATCCGAAGCGCTCGGCACCCTTTGCAGCCTAGGGAAGAGATTGATTATTTGTTTGGACAATAATCTTAATTAACTGAGAACAGGAAATTACAGTGATAACCAGAAAACTCCGAAATAGGAAGACGACTTTATAGCAAATAATACTAAAGTGTATTGGATGGATGATAGTTACAAAGCAAATTGTTTTACTTGAAATTTATGTTATCACTAATTAAGTGAAATGGGGTTGTTAACACTGCACATATTACTGTGTCAAGTGCTTATTTGACTATTTAAACAATTTTTACAAACAGTAGTCATCGATTATTTTTCGACGCATTCGTATATAGTTAATATTTCATAATATTTTTGATTTTGATTTAAAATAATTTTCGCTGGCGCTGGATTTTTGAACATTCCTAGAAAATATGAAAATGTCGTCTTCATTATCCAAAATCCAATAATAAATGTTTTCAAAAGTAAATCTCAGATCATGAAAAATACATAATATTATGAAATTTCAACTATTTACGAAAGCGTCGAAAAATAATCGATAACTATTGTTTGTAATATCTGAATGATTTGTTTGGAATTAAATGGATTTGTTTACGATCCGAGTTGAATGTTCTATCTTTCTGAATTTGCATGGACACTACGTTCCTCAGTATTAGTCGTTTTTAACAATTTTCTCCTTATAGACGCAACAGATAGAAGTAAGATTAGTAGCGATCAAAAGCGCTTTTTTATCGCATTAAGCCTATACCCTCTTTTATTTTTCGCGAACACTCCCTTTAAGTCTAACAATTTTTTCCACTGTTTCTGCAGAAGAAATCCCTGTCACTTTAACAAGAAAAACTTTCATCGGATATGCCATTAAAGGTTCAGCGTCTCTTTAACATTTCTTATTTTTTTTTGTCTAGGAGAGACTGAAGCAGATGGGGTTCAGTGAGGTGGATTCCAACGGTAGCAGCAGCTTCGCAGAAACATATACTCTTAGGCAGGCGTTCTATAGTCAACTTTTACTACAGGGTGTCCCAATAAACATTCGAATTGAGAGACGACTTGAATATCGTCTTTGATTTCCGATAATTAATAATTGACATAAAGTGCATTAAAAAAAGATTGAAAGTTTAAGGAGCTTTCCAAAATGTGGCCAACCTTTCCCCATCATTTTTCACATCTCTTAAAAATGGTTTTATTCGTTTAATCAGAGAAAATCAATGAATTTTTGGGAAAAAAAGGATGAAATATGTCTTTTGATGTCCAATTTTTTTTGCTCAGTGCACTAAAAATAATTTCTCGTACCTCGGGAACCCCTCTAAAAGTCTTTTAATTGCATTGTGTGAATCCCTGAAATTCTTATTATATTGCACAGTGAGAATCCCTGAAAGTTTATGATATTGCACTGTGTGAATCCCTGAAAGTCTTATATTGCACCGTGTGAAACCCTTAAAGGCTTATTTATATTGCACTGTTTGAATCCCTGAAAGTCCTTTTTATATTCCAGTACCACAGTGCGATTCCCTGAAACTCTTCTTACAGTGCCACTGTGCAAATCCCTGAAATTCGATTCCTATTTCAGTGTGTGAACCCCTGATCATCTTATTATATTGCGCTGTGCGAATCCCTGAAATTATTATTTGTGTGAACCCCCAAAAGTCTGATCATAATGCACTGTGTGAACCCCTGAAAGTCTGATCATAATGCACTGTGTGAACCCCTGAAAGTCTGATCATAATGCACTGTGTGAACCCCTAAAAAAGTCTATTCATTATGCACTGTGTGAACCCCTGAAATTGTAGACGAGAGTCCCACCTGAAGTCCCTACAGGGCAGAGAAGAGGAGATGAGACAGAAGTTTGTATTGAGGTAGGATTTAGGGGGGTTTGGGGGGGGGGGGTTAGATTGGAAATATTAATACTACAATATAATGTTATATCAAATACATTTTTTATTCAAAATAATATTTTATTCAGTCAAGAAATTTCTGTACTAAATTGTGCTAAATATTTTGGAAAAGTGGCCACGCCTCTGTACGATTTTTGAATAAAAGAGAACAAACGCCTACTATAAAGTATGAAGTATGGTAAAATAAAACATGTAAAAAAAGTCGAAAAATTTTATATTACTTTAATGATTCCAAAGCGTCAGCAGCGGTCACTGTGATATTTTGTCTAAACGAGAATATTTAACAGTCGGGGAAAAAAGAATTTTTATAAATCTTAAAGGTACTGTAAGCGTAATTTCAAATGACCCTCCATTCTAAGACGGTAATGCCCGATTCACAATAGTACCCTTGAAACCTTTTTCTGGTCAACATTATGGAAGATATTGTCGTTTTTCTAGGTTTAAACGTGGTTATTTCTGATAGTTCCTATATACTAAGTCACTTTTGTGGGCTTGATTAGACAAAGTTTAAAGGTACCGTTGTGAATCGGGCTTTTCCGTCTTTGCATACAAGGTTACCTGAAATTTCGCTAACAGTCCCTTTAAACAATCCCTTTTCCAGAGTAAAAGAGAAGGAAGCAGAGCTGATCTATTTACTAAGTCACTTTTGTGGGCTTGATTAGACAAAGTTTAAAGGTCCGCTGTGAATCTGGCTTTTTCCGTCTTTGCATACAAGGTTACCTGAAATTTCGCTAACAGTCCCTTTAAACAATCCCTTTTCCAGAGTAAAAGAGAAGGAAGCAGAGCTGAAGGAATCTGAGCGTGAGCTGCACAGCAGGTTCGACAAGCTCAAGGCAAGTGTGGCGGAGGAACGGCGGTTAGTTGACGAACAGCGGCGGACATTGGATGAAGAAATTGCGGATTTCCACCGGCGGAAGGCCCAGTATGAGACGGATAAGATGAGCAGTGGGCATCATACTCTCACCCTGGGCAAACTTGGAAAGAAGAAGTAAACTGCAACTTTTAACCGGAACCTGTAACCGGAACTTGTAACCGGAACTTGTAACCGGAACTTGTAACCGGAACCTGTAACCTGACCTTGTAACCGGAACTTGTAACCAGAACTTGTAACCGGAACTTTTAACTGGAACTTGTAACCGGAACTTTTAACTGGAACTTGTAACCGGAACTTGTAACCAAAACTTGTAACCGGAACTTGTAACCAGAACTTGTAATCGGAACTTGTAACCGAAACTTGTATCCGGAACTTGTAACCGGAACCTGTAACCTGAACTTGTAACCGGAACCTGTAACCAGAACTTGTAACCGGAACTTGTAACTGGAACTTGTAACCGGAACTTGTAACCGGAACTTGTAACCGGAACTTGTAACCGGAACTTGTATCAGGAAATTGTATCCGGAACTCGTAAATACCATATTTTAACCAATAATATTTTAATTAGAAATTAAACTGGAAGAAAAACCAGAAACTGGAGACGAATGTTAAAAATTTGCCAAATGAAATCTCTATGTAAGCGTGCTTTTTACAATTTACAGTCTGCAACACTTTTAATTATTTGTTCTTCTTGTGTATATTTGTGTTTGTAATATTTGTAAATATATTTACTAACAATTTTGAATGTAGTGCTATAAACATTTTGCATTTTTCTACTAACCCAATGTTTGTTTTGTATTGCACGTAAAACTGTACAAAATTATCGACAAAAAATGCTTTAACAATATTACAATTGAATTATAGTCTGTGCTTTTACGTCTTGCTGATTTTCTACAATTTTCTTTGTAGTATTAAAAAAAAGTCTTGATATCATATAATAAAAAAGTAATAGTGTAAATTATAAACCCCTTCATGACTACTTACATTAATGCTGATAATTTGTTTCTATTCTTATTGATTAAATAATCGATATCACATGGTAAAATTTAAGGAGAAAATCAGAGTCCAAATTTAATGAATTTGTGCTTCGTCTCAAATCCGTTAAAAATTAGCGCTGGCTTAAATCTTGAAACATTGAATACCATTTTTAGTGGAACCAACCATATCTGAGCCGTGTCTCAAATTCTTTAAGTTCGGCCTCAGATTTTTCTGAAATTTGCGAAATGTCAAAATTTTTGTTAATCGGCTTCTCTACACAAAAGGATTAAATTGATTCCTCTTGGATATCCCGTGCCAATGGTGGATATCCCGTGCCAATAGTGGATATCCCGTGCCAATAGTGGATATCCCGTGCCAATAGTGGATATCCCGTGCCAATAGTGGATATCCTGTGCCAATAGTGGATATCGAGATCAAGTATTGTAGAGCGCCGTCTCGCAAGAAAGTTTTGACTTCAAGCTATCGAAACGTTATTTTGTTTCCAAACTTCGATTCACAACGGTACTTTAAATCTAGGTTGACAATCCTTTAATGTTCACATCTCTGTAAGATAATATGAACTTATCAGCAGTTTTGTTTCACAAAATTCGAAAGATTTAAACAAATTATCAAAAATATTTACAAGAAAATAATTTAATAATTTGAATTCAGATAAAATGGAATTAGGGAATTATTCCGGTTTAGCGGAGTATGTGGTGGATGCTAACCAAGCTCTCAACTTCAGGTTATTCATTCATTTATTCATTTATTTGTTTATTTATTATTCATTCATTCATTCATTCATTCATTCATAATCATTCATTTATTTATCCTATAATTTCTTTAAGTATCCTGTCATACATTCATTCATCCTTTCATTCATCCTTTCATTCATCCTTTCATTCATCCTTTTATTCTATATTTCATCGTTTCATATATTTAATCCCATACTTTATATCTTTATTATTCACTTTTTAATTTTTGTTATTTATTCATTTAATTAATAATTATTTATTTGTTAATTTTTCATTCATTTGGATATTATTAAAGAATACAGTCAATTATTTTATAATTCGCAATTATCGTTCATAATTGTTTACTTGATGAGTTATTCCCAGAGCTCCAGGTAGGAACATGAGGGAAATTTCGATAGTATTATCTGGAGTAATGATCCGGTCATCTTAGAGAGGTCACGCTGTATTGTCTTAGCTCACTTCTCCTGGCACAATCATAAAGATTAAAATCTGTCACATCGACTAGTCTTTTAAAAGAGTTCAGCAACCTAGCTTCTTTAACTTCTGCTGCGAGTCTTTACCATGTAGTTACAACTCTATTGGAGAAAAAGTAATGTCTCATCTCAGTCTTAGATCTGTTAGGAATCAAGTTTTTGCAATAAGCTGTTGTACACAGAACGTGTCAATCTCTTTTCATCTGTTCCTCCTGTTCTGAACCCTATATTGTTGTCTAACTGAGGCTCCACATAGAATTGTATTCAGTGTTTCAAGATTTAAGCCGGTGAAGTGCTCAAATGAAACCGGTTATTGGTGGATTTAAGACGCGGCTCAATTCATTAAATTTGGACTCTGGTCGATTCCTGACAATATCTTATAGGTTTGGATGATGTCAAATCTTTTTCTACGTTCCTCAATGGACAGTATACCCAACTCTGCAAGTTTTTTTTCTTCACAATTAACACCTTTCAGATCAGAAATCAGATTAACCGTTCGTCTTTTATCTTTTCTTATATTTCTATATCAGCAGCTGTTCATTTGAAAGCTTTTGCAATTTACTAATATATAGCTATTTAATATTTACTCAACCTTTTCTACTATTTTTTAACGGAAAAGAATATCAACAATAAGAAGAACAATAGTGTAACCTTCAAAATTAAATGCTTACAGTTTTAATCAACTAAAAATGATATTTGAAGAAAAATTTGTTAATTTGATGCAACAAATGCGTAAATCCTGCATTTTTTCAACAGATTATTGAATTTGGACTTATTTATAACTCTTTGAGTCTGGAAACCTGTAAAGCTGGAACTGTTTTCTTATTTGGTTTGTTTGACCGATTTGCCTCAAAGTTTAATTTGGGAAATCGGGAGACCCTCGGGAATCTTCTTAGCTATCTTCTTAGCTTGGTTTGGAGATTCTTAATTTTATAGGGAAAAATAGCTAAATTCGTAATTTACGTCCAAGCGCGGGTAAACGGCGGGAGTAACTATGAGTACCCAGGGCAACGCTGGGTTCTCAAGCTAGTTGTTAAATATTATGGTTTTAGGTTTGTGGGTTCTGCTGAGGATATGGAGAATGAGAAGTTAGTTTTTCAACCCGAGATGGTGCATCAAATATATGGAGATAACGAGAATATATTTGGATATAAGGANATTCATCACATAATGAGATAATATAAGGATCTCAAGGTAGTGTATATTTTATATATTCATCACATAATGAGATAATAGATAAATGATACAAATATCTTTGGGCGAATACTTTTATTAATTCTACTTGTTAATTTGCAGATATCTAGCCTAAGAACGTTCAACGTGTAAGAGGTGGTTGAACTAGCTTATTCTGGTTAAACTACTCATAGCTTCTTCAACACCTCTCACTACACGTAATCTTTCAACTCGACCATAAACTCAACTTAAATCTAACCCATTACAAAATCTATTTTCTTATCCATGTGATTTTTATCCTTATTAATACTTTTAAATCTAAATATTGAAATTGATTAAAACAAGTAAAAAATATGGGGTTATGTTAAAAAGTTTATTAAAAAGGCGCATTATCTTTATTTACAAAACAGTATCAAATAGAATATTTGTTAAGTTCCTGAAGACTTGTTATTCAACGTTGTAAATTGAGAACTTGTCCAGCTCTGTATCGTTGGACAGTTTGGTTTCATCCTCCACGCTTGAAATATCTTCCTTCCATATTTGCTCCTCCGAACCGTCCAATTCTCCGAAATTAAAAGACCAGCATGCATCAGGATCAGCAGAGGTGGCGCCGGTTAGAGCGAATGTTTTTATCTCATTCTCCACAAGGGGGACTGCTAGCTTGCTGCGTTTATGGCAGATTCTCTTCAAGTTCTGGTAGAGTAGATATAACGCTGTAGCTCCAAGGAAAGTTGCCATGAGCGAGCCAACCACCATGAGAAGGGTTTTGTTGTAGGAATACATAATTGTACTACTGTCTGTAGGTCAACTGAAGATAACCTTGTTGTACTAGGTTTATATAGGTGGGTCATTGTGGTTGACCGCTGGTTAGCTGGCGTGGTGCCGCGCTGGGTTACACTTATCAGTGGTCAGTGGCCGTCCAGCACTTCATATCCCAACTCATCCGGCACGCCGNCCCCCCCCCACAAAAAAATGTGTCAGCAAATTGTCGGTCAAACGCTTGTGCAACTGATAAGAGAGGGGTGGGAACAAGGGCGGCAATGGTCATTGCTTGCCACCCCTGGTTCTTGGCTTAATAGTTGTTGTTGGTTTGAAAGAGAGGTTTTGGGTCGATTTAAAAGAAATTGTTTCCCCCTGTTTTTCCATATATTTTATTATGTACATGTTCTTCTATTAACGTTCCGAATAAAATGTGAACATTGGATCACTTCATTTCATTTCACTTCATTTCATAATTAACGAATAGCATTTAAGTAGTTGAACTACGTTTCTTGTGCCTCTATTCAAGTTTAAGAGAAGTGGTTCATCTTAGTTCACATAATTGAAGTTATTGTCTCTCGCGGAAATATCTAAAATAAATTTGTGTAATTAAGGTAAAAAGCTGAGGTTTGATGAGGCTGAGAGGATGGGAGGAAAGTTAGTACTGGTTGGGAACCAGGAGCAGAGAACTAGATCTATCCTGGAGAACCAATTGGATCCTCTCCAGGTTCAATCTATCACTGCTATGCAATGGGCCCTGCTGGAAAGGATTGGTCGAGCAAGGTTTGTTAATTTGGATATTTTTTCTGTAAAAAATAATTACATTAAAGAATGAAGTTATGTCGAACCTTCAAACTTTGTTGTCCTGATTATTTTGCAGATTATGGTTGGGTTAAATCAAATTCTTACAGTTAATATGGTTCCATTTTTGTTGGATTTTCAGCATTCCCCCCCCTCCCTTGGAATGTCGAAAAATGTTAAGCCACCCTGGAAACATTTCTGTAATCACCCCTGTTGGTAGTAAAGTATTAACAGTTTTACTTAAATGAAATAATTTTCAGTTCAACATTTGAAAATTTTAAAGGTTTAGAGACAACTTAACATAATTAGTTTAAAGGGATTATTGACAATAAAATACATCGGTTTAAAGGGAATGTTGGCAGTTTAACACTTAATATGTTAATAGGGTAGGAAACAAATAAGATTAAAGGGATTTGATGTCCGTACATATAACTTGTGATCAATTTAAATTAATTGTTTACAGTTTAATGGAGTGTTTATGGTTCAAATAAATTGTTTACAGTTTAATGGGACTGCTTACAGTTTAATGGATTGTTTATGGTTTAAAGGGATTGTTACAGTTTAAAGGGATTGTTTATGGTTTAAATGGATTGTTCCTGGTTTAAAGGTATTGTTTATGGTTTAATGGGAGTGTTTATGGTTTAAAAGGATTGTTTACAGTTTAAATGGATTGTTCATGGTTTAAAGGGATTGTTTATGGTTTAATGGGATTGTTTATGGTTTAAAAGGATTGTTTACAGTTTAAATGGATTGTTCATGGTTTAAACGGATTGTTTATGGTTTAATGGGATTGTTTATGGTTTAAAGGGATTGTTTACAGTTTAAATGGATTGTTCATGGTTTAAACGGATTGTTTATGGTTTAATGGGATTGTTTATGGTTTAAAAGGATTGTTTACAGTTTAAATGGATTGTTCATGGTTTAAGGGGATTGTTTATGGTTTAATGGGATTATTTATGGTTAGTTTACAGTTTAAATGGATTGTTTATGGTTTAAATGGATTGTTCATGATTTAAATGGATTGTTTATGGTTTAAATGGATTGTTCATGGTTTAAAGGTATTGTTTATGGTTTAATGAGAGTGTTTATAGTTTAAATGGATTGTTCATGGTTTAAATGGATTGTTTATGGTTTAAATGGATTGTTTATGGTTTTAACGGATTGTTCATGATTTAAATGGATTGTTTATGGTTTAAATGGATTGTTCATGGTTTAATGAGATTGGTTATGGTTTGAAAGGATTGTTTATAGTTTAAATGGATTGTTAATGGTTTAAAGGGATTGTTTACAGTTTAAATGGATTGTTTATGGTTTAATGGATTGTTTATGGTTTAAAAGGATTGTTTAGAGTTAAATGTGATTGTTAACATTTAAAATTGAGTATTTACAGTTAAAAAGAATTGCTTTCACTTAATGGGGTCGTTTACATTTCAATGGGATTGTTTCCAGTTTAAAGGGATTGTCAGATGAAAGGGATTGTTTAGAATTTAGGCTTGTGTTCTCTAGCTCCTACTATTACTGCAGGGTTTGCTCCGGAAGCAGGTACACCACCAGAAGACCACGAAGCAGATGAAGAATATGAAAAGTAGATCTCAGAACTCTCAGGGAACTCTCTTCCATCTTCCCAGGTTCTATGTTGAACGTCAGCCAAAAACATTACTGCTGGGTGAGTCATTGAGGATTTAAAGGGAGTGTAAACGTGATTTTAGGTGTACTTTTTATAGCATGTCCGACTCACAACGTACTCTTTAAACTTTTGATTGATCAGGAATGAATGAGATTTCCTTAATTTTCTTGACTTGCATATTTTACCATAAAAAATTAAGCTTGTCACGATTTTACTCATTTTAAGAGAAGAACGAAGATATCTTCCTCATTGTTACTCAAACATAGGTTAAATGGGTCCCGTTTTGAATCTTGCATACCCTCCTTTACGTTACGTCTACATTCACTTTAATATAACTTAGTGTTATAAACGATTCACAACGGTACCCTTAGTATTGTAGACACAGTTTCTCTTTCAAAATTGACTGTTTCTGTCAGAAGAAGCCAATATTTCTATAAACTCAACTAAAAATGAATTAATAAAGATTTTTTTCATTTCAGAATAAAACTTAAAATTAGTTAGCGGTGTTTATATGCGATTTAAAATTGTTATTGGCCTTCCCTTCGTTGTTCTTTAATTTATTGGCCCGCTAGATAATTTGGGCCTTTTTCCTTTTACCTACATTTTCAGTTTTTGAAAACATAGTTTAAACATCCGGCAATATAATCAAATTGGCATTTAAACGTTTCAATGTATTAAGATGAAAAAAGATTATGTCTTAAATGATGTCTTGTCTTACGTTATGTTGGATTTGGATTTGGATAATATCGCAATTGGAATGGGATGGCATTGGAATTGTCATGGATCGCTATTTTATTAACATTTAAATGGATTAGAACTGATTTAACAATATTAGGCTTAATAAATGTTTTGAAAAATCTACAAAAAAAATTATTTTAATAAGATATTTTTAGTAAAGAATGTTGTTGAATTTTTGATTGAACAGCCAACAAAAATGGCGACTTATGACGATCTCAAGGTTTTCCTCAATATTGGAAACTCATTCAAGAAACTGTTCAAAACCCAGGTTAGTTTTCTTTTCATAATCTGTAGGAGTTCAAGAGGTTTAATTGTTGATACAGAAAGACTTTGTGATTATAACTAACTTTGAAAAGAAGAAACAGTTAACAAAATCCTTGTTGGATAGGGCAGTTACAAGGGTCCTGGAAATTAAACGATCTCAGTCTACTATGTGTACCTTACCGCAGCCTTGGGAATGGTTCGAGATCCAACCGTATGTATCGGACACACATGCAAGCAGAACAATGTCAATGGTAAGAGCAGGAAATGCTCAACTAGGAAATAGATATAAGAATCGGTACGGCTACCAGTATGAACACTGCCCCCACTGCATCCTTAATGGGATAACGAAAAAGTTGAAAGAATCACACGTGTTCCTTTCATGCCCAAGTGTGGAAATGGAACGACGGAAGATGCGGGTCACAAACTATATCATCAAACTGAAATCCCAAGGGAAAACAACAAACCAGGAAATATTAAGGTCTTACCTAGGAGGAGATGGGGCAAATCCAGAAATACTCTTACATAGGGGGAAATGTATGAGCAAGATTATTGAGACTTGGCTATGTAGAAATCATGAGTAACATGCAGGAGTAAGGCATGAAATAGCATTGTTTATGGAATGGTATGCAGGGAATGTGAGAAATTTAGGTTAATGGTTAAGGGATATTGAGCAGTAATAAAAACAAAATGGATTTTAACGAGCATAAAGGCTTCAACATTAAAAGACACATATGGGAGGTTTTAAGACCAAGTGGATGGATCACAATCAGTAAATGCTTTATCTGTGAATAATACGTATGTAACAGGAAAATTTAATGAGTTAAAATGGCTGGCACAGAATTAGATCACCATCAATCTAAGGTAGTGAATGATATCAACTTAAAGATCGCTGTCAATACTCAATCTCAAAATTCATGTTGATCATCCCAATATACTAGTAATACCGACAGGTGTACAGAAGGGTCGATGACAGACCGCCATGGGTTTGTCTTCCACCTCTGAATTTACACCCAGCTCATAACTGGGTTGATTCATTTGAACTTAAACGGAGGGAGCTCAAGCCTACAACCTAGATTGAAGGTTTGACAGCGATTATTATTATTATTATTATTATATCTGTAGGAGTTCAACAGGTTTAATTGTTTATATATCTGTAGGAGTTCAACAGGTTTAATTGTATATATATCTGTAGGAGTTCCACAGGTTTAATTGTATATGTATATTTGTAAAAAAATTCCACAGGTTTCATCTATATATAAATTTGGCTTGTCTGTCTGTTTGTCTGTCTGTCTGTCTGTCTGTTTGTATCCTATAAACGTCAAAACGGCTGAACCGATCGGGCCCAAATTTTTTGTGGGACATCTAGGGACCCCAGGGAAGGTTTATGAATGATCAAAATTTCAAATATTTGTCTCCATCAAAATTCGATCTTCATTAAATGTTTGAAAATTTTGAAAATCCACGAAATTTTTTGTGAAAATCCGCGAATTATTTTTGTTTTGTTTTACGATGTACACAAAGAGAACAGGTTCACAATTAATTTAGAAGATGGGCGCGAAGCGCCCTCTAAGGCTAGTTGTATATATTTCTGTAGGAGTTCAATAGGTTTAATTGTATATATATATCTGTAGGAGTTCCACAGGTATAATTGTTTATATATATTTGTAAAGTTCCACAGGTTTAATTGTATATATTTCTGTAGGAGTTCAATAGGTTTAATTGTCAATATATCTGTAGGAGTTCAATAGGTTTAATTGTTTATATATCTGTAGGAGTTCAACAGGTTTAATTGTTTATATATCTGTAGGAGTTCCAGAGGTTTAATTGTATATATATCTTTAGGGAGTTCAATAGGTTTAATTGTTTATATATCTGTAGGAGTTCCACAGGTTTAATTGTTTATATATCTGTAGGAGTTCCACAGGTTTAATTGTATATATATCTGTAGGAGTTCAACAGGTTTAATTGTTTATATATCTGTAGGAGTTCCAGAGGTTTAATTGTTTATATATCTGTAGGAGTTCAACAGGTTTAATTGTATATATATATCTGTAGGAGTTCCACAGGTATAATTGTTTATATATCTGTAGGAGTTCCAGAGGTTTAATTGTTTATATATCTGTAGAAGTTCCACAGGTTTTATTTTTTTATATATTTGTAGCGTTCCACAGTTTTAATTGTTTATCTGTAGGAGTTCCAGAAGTTAAATTGTTTATTATCTGTAGGCGTTCCGGACGTTTAATTGTTTATATATCTGTAGGAGTTCCAGAGGTTAAATTGTTTTTATATCTGTAGAGTTCCAGAGGTTTAATTGATTATATATCTATAGGAGTTCCACAGGTTTTTTTGTCTATATATTTGTTGAGTTTCAGAGGTTTAATTGTTTTCATATCTTCAGGAGTTCCAGAGGTTTGTTAGAGGGGATGTTAAAGTTCCCTATAGAGCAGTTCATCCCGAGGCCACAGATTCAGAGTGGAGACGGTAATTATAGTAGCATAGGGGTCGGAAGTATTTATTCCTACTCAAAGACGACATTTGTTTAATCTAGACTGACCTTTTAAGAAGGTGAAATGGAGGCCTTGCTAGCTTTTAAAACTTTTTTTGGTTCTACAAAACACAAATATTTTTTTCCCTGAAACTTTTGTCCCAATTGTCATTAGTGCCACCAAGACTAATTCACTTCTCGATATTACCCGTCAGCTTTGAAAATATAATATTTAACGATCACATTTTTGAAAGTTTCAAAGTTAATGAAAGGTTTAAAAAATGAAAGGAAAGAAAGAGAAAACTTACATTTATTTCTTCACTTTAGGTCGTGTACATACTGGGCAACATTTATAAGTTACAAGGGTTTATATAGACTCGTTGTGCGCGCGCAAATATTCAAGGTTTGCAGAACAATATTTGTTTAAAGGGTAAACTTCCAAGAATATACAGATGCAGTATTTTAAAATGCTGCTTTAACAATCTGCTTCAGCACAAACTATGCCCTGCGTTGACAATCAGGAATTAAAGACGATTTTCAAAGTGATTGTTCACTTTTTTCCCAAAACGGTTCAATTCGTGTTTTTGAAATAGCTGAACAATCCCTTTATTTAGGAAAGGAATGTCTGAGGAGAAGAATATCCGTGTTGTTCAACTCCTGAACCCGGATATACGTCCTGAACATGTGACGAACCAAACTGTTCAACTCCTGAACCCGGATATATATGTGACAAACCAAACCAAACAGGATATAAGATCTAAGCATGTGACAAAACAAACCGAACACATGGATCAGGAAGTTTTTAATCAGGTATTTATAATTATCAATAATTTTACGTACACATTACACATTACACATTACATATACACTTCCTCTTAGAGTAGTTCTGGAATAGAGAAAATAATATTTAAGGAGAATCCAACTCCTGTAATACTGGATCAATCCTAGCTCCTGAATATAATATATAAGGAGAATCCAACTCCTGGAATACTTGATGAATCCTAGCTCCTTAATATAATATTTAAGGAGAATCCAACTCCTAGAATACTGGATCAATCCTAGCTCCTAATTATAATATTTAAGGAGAATCCAACTCCTAGAATACTGGATCAATCCTAGCTCCTAATTATAATATTTAAGAAGAATCCAACTCCTAGAATACTGGATCAATCCTAGCTCCTGAATATAATATATAAGGAGAATCCAACTCCTGTAATACTGGATCAATCCTAGCTTCTTAATATAATATTTAAGGAGAATCCAACTCCTGTAATACTGGATCAATCCTAGCTCCTGAATATAATATATAAGGAGAATCCAACTCCTGTAATACTGGATCAATCCTAGCTCCTTAATATAATATTTAAGGAGAATCCAACTCCTGGAATACTGGATCAATCCTCCTGGATCCTGGATAGGTCGATGATGTGGCAAGCATACAGGTAAGGAACAGATTAATAGCAAGACGTATTTAAACTCCGTAGACTAAGTTGAACCACTTGATTTGAATTTGAACCGGCGCACAAGAAAGTGGTTTTTAACTACTGTACTTCTCGCTATTAATTTAAACTAGGGTTTTTTCTTGTTTCCGTTGAATACATGGATAGTGGATACCCACAAAGGATGAGAGGCTGCTGTACAGAATTTATCATTTTCCTTAAATTGATGATTCCATTCAGTTTGCCAAATCATTGGATTTTTTTTTTAAAAGTCTGTATTTACAATTTTGGACAGAAGACCTTATAGAACCTTTTAGATTTAAGATTTTCAGGTCTTATCTTTTGTTAGTAATCTTGTAGAAAAATAACTAAATGAATTTTATAAACCATTTTAATTGGACAGGGCCTAGTAAAAAGAAAAACTTGAAATTTTCTGATATTCAAAAGAAATGTTTGTAGATTTGTCGAAGGAGAAGGTCCGGAGGGTATATCCCAGCAGGAATTAGGTCGGAGGCTGGGACATGGTAAACTGGAGGCCAGGACAATATGCAGGTACAATGGAGGTTGGGACATTGGAGGCAGGACAACTTGAAGGTCAAATGGAGGTTGGAACATTGGAGGCCAGGGAAAGTTAAAGGTTAAATGGAGGTTGGAACATTGTAGGCCAGGCAAATTCAAAGGTAAAATGGTGGTTGGAACATTGTAGGCCAGGCAAATTCAAAGGTAAAATGGAGGTTGGGACAATGGAGGCCAGGAAACTTTTCCAGAATCAATTCTAAGTTGAAGCATTTTTCGAAATGTCTTCTTTAAACGAACATTTAAAAGTAAAATGGAGGTTGGGACAATGGAGGCCAGGAAAAGTTTCAGGTAAAATGGGAATTGGAACTTTAAGAGGTCGGAAAAATTTTAAGTTATAAAGGAGCTTGGAACATAGGAGGCCAGGACAAATTGCAGGTAGAATGGAGGTTGAGAGATTGTAGACTTTAGGCCAGATCGATTAATTTATCAATATTCAGCTAGTTCAGGAACTAGATAATCCTTGTATTAACTAAAACCTTGTCTAGGAATTAGATAATCCTTGTATTAACTAAAACCTTGTCTAGGAACTAGATAATCCTTGTATTAACTAATACCTTGTCTAGGAACTAGATAATCCTTGTATTAACTAAAACCTTGTCTAGGAACTAGATAATCCTTGTATTAACTAATACCTTGTCTAGGAACTAGATAATCCTTGTATTAACTAAAACCTTGTCTAGGAACTAGATAATCCTTGCATTAACTAAAACCTTGTCTAGGAACCTACTCAGACGGAGGCTAGTTATCACTGTACTAAACGATCAAGGTCGACAGCGTGTAACTAATTTTGTTGCGAAGAAGTTTGAACATCTCAGTCCTTCATCAAATCAGGTAAAAAAAAACGTTGAAAAAATTGGCATCTTCATTGGCATTATTCATCAAATTTGGCCGATGTTTGTCTAAAATTGGAAGATTTAGCCAACATAAGGAACTAAGTTTTTTCATTCCTTTATTTTTGCAACCTGATGGTATAAACCTTTGATATTTCAACTATAGAAGATTTGTTCAACAGAGTTTGAAGTTTAAAATGCCTAAAATTTGTTTATAATCTTTGTGAAGAAACAATCTCAAGAACTGACGAGGGTCAACCCAGACCGAAATATACTTTCAATAAATGTGGAACTAACATCTACTTTTTTACTCTACAGAGGTTTGGTCCAACACCATCACTGAATTTTCAATAAAATTTACGACATTGGGTTGCAAAGATGTAGGGTTTAAAAAATCAGTTTGAGGCAATACAATGTCATTGCAGACAAGACGTATCATAATTGTTCTGAAAAATCCTGGATTTATGATTTGATAAATATATTTGTTAAGTTTCTGCTAGAGAAGAAGAAGAATGAGGCTCTACTCTCGTCCTCAGCTCCTAACCTAGTCCTCGAGGACGAGTATGAGGACGATGAGAGGTTAGTTTAGTTTACTGCAGTGGACGCCAGGCATTAAAGACGACAATCAGAAATGGACTACTGTAAGTGATGAAGAAAGCTAACCAAAAATATATTAGTTTTCTGCAATATAGATTATAATTTTCCAACAGTACTGTTCGTAGCAGATTTGCAACTTTCAACATTGAATTGTTAAAAAAAAAATTAGAACATTTGTTTGTTAAATCTGTTCTGCCAAAGAAACCATAGATTTTTTAGGCATTTTAATTCATTGGAATATAAATGAAAGGGAGCTCACCACGGATTAAGGATTGACTGCGATTATTATTATTATTATAGTTTATAATTATTAAAAATTTAAAATTTAAAAAACCATGATTGTACGATTATACATAAACTTGATTTTAAATTTTGAACAGGGTTTCTGAGATTTCTGTTCTAAACAAGCGAAAGCGGGAAGCTGAGGAAGAAGATGAAAGGACGATTAAGAAGAAACCTGCACTAGACCTGGGGGAAGATGAAGATGACATTGCAGAAGAAGAAGATGAAACTGTTCTTGTTGAAGATGAAGAACAAGACCATGAGGACGGGGAGGATATGTTGAAGGTGGAGGAGGAGGTTGAGGAGATAAAGGTAGACGAGGAGGAGAAGGTGGATTCATGGATCAATTGCTCGGAGAGTAACAGCTGTGATAGCAGTATATCCATGTCTATACGTTCAGGAAACCATTTTTTATTATTAGTATTTTTATTATTCCTAAAATATTGCTTTATGTTACGTTATTAGAAGCAAAAACAAATTTTAACTACTTAAAAGAAGTTTCAGATAAAAGAAAATTTGGTTTCTGTAGATTTCAAACTAGACGATAAATGTAAATCCCCAGTAAAGGGTAGGAAGGAGAAGAAAGGAGAGAGCCAAGCAACATTTAGGCAGCTCAGGAGAACTAATACTATTATAGAGGCAGTTCGTTTTCATAAGGTAATTCACCGAAAAAATTCATAATAAATAAATATTTTATAAATGTTGTTTCAATGAGTGCACACCAGGTACTACAGAATACAGATATGACTGATATTGTTGGATTTTAAAACAAAATGATTATAAGTAACTTTTACTTAGCGCAAGGGTTACACATGCTTTTAATAGTAATTTTGATTTGAAGATTTTTTCTGTAAATACTTATTTTTTCTCAAAAAATTGGCAAAATCTTTCTAAAATATGATGGACCATGAACCGGACTAAAGTTTATTTTCTCTAGGTGATAGATGATCCTACAAAGCTGTACAAGATGATCCAGGAGAATGAGGCTAGGGAAGGATATGGGGCAAGGATGGATAAAAAAAGTTTGATGCGTATTCTCACAAAGCTTGGGAATGATAATCATATTAAAAATATTACTGTAGAGCTCAAACTTCAGGATAAAATCAAGGTTAACATTTTTTTTACAAAATAAGCAATTTACTCTACAAATATACAAGTTTGTCTTATCATAACTCAGGATCCCCTTGGCCGATTTGCCCCAAATTTTGAATGTATAACTCGGTAGTCACGGAAATGTGCTTAGCTTGGTTTTAAAGTTATAAATTGAAAGCTGGGTCCTTGCGAGTGGTTCAATATTTGTTAATGTTTAGAACCTGCATTTTGTGTGTGAACCAGGGATAGATAAATCTAACACGGTGATACAATCAGCAATAGAACAGGCTAAGATGAAGTTCAATTCATTCAGAAGTTCTCCAGAACCTGAACTCAGGTATATATTCAGGGTTCTCCAGAACCAGAACTCGGGTATATATTCAGGGTTCTCCAGAACCAGAACTCAGGTATAAATTCAGGGTTCTCTAGAACCTAAACTAAGGTATATAATCAGGGTTTTACAGAACCTGAGCTCAGGTATAAATTTAGGGTTCTCCGAACCAGAACTCAGTTTATATTCAGGGTTCTCCAGAACCTGAACTCAGGTATATATTCAGGGTTCTCCAGAACCTGAACCAAGGTATATATTCAGGGTTCTACAGAACCAAAACTGTTTTATATTCAGAGTTCTTGAGAACCTGAACTCAGGTATATTTTCAGGGTTATCTAGAACCTTAACTCAGGTATATATTCAGGGTTCTCCAGAACCTGAACTCAGGTATATATTCAGGTTTCTCCAGAACCTGAACTCAGGTATATATTCAGGGCTCTCAGGACCTGAACTCAGGTATATACTCAAGTTTCTCTAGAACCTGAACTCAGGTATATACTCATGGATCTTAAGAACCCTTTAAGGTTAACCCTGTGAATTGTCTAGGTTAACTAATGATTGTCCCTTTAACCCTTTGAATTGTCTAGGTTTACTAATGATTGTCCCTTTAACCCTGTGAATTGTCCAGGTTTACTAATGATTGTCCCTTTAACCCTGTGAATTGTCTAGGTTTACTAATGATTGTCCCTTTAACCCTGTGAATTGTCTAGGTTTACTGATGAGGATGGAAGAGTATGGAGAGATGAAACATCTCCTCCTTCTACCCCTGTTCCTGGTAAACTCAGTTTGTAAACGGACATGTATTCTCATTTTGCATACTTTTAAAAATGCTATTTAAAAAACAAAGGCATAGTTAATATAAATTAGAATGGCACAAAAATTTTGGAAGGGGGAACTCTAGTCCAATCATTGTTTTTAGATATATGATAAAATAAGTCCGATGTCCCAAAACAGGATTGTTGCATCCCTTTATTCATTACTTCAAATAATGTATGTGACAGTGACAAACAACATAATTATAAAATGGATGAGAGGGAGGGGGGCTAAAAAAAGAGACATTTTGAAGTCTTTTATTTCTAGCGATTCTATATTCAATATCTAAACTATTTTGAGCAGGTTCCCCCAGCAAACTCCGAGCTAGTAGAAGATACGGATTACAACCTAAGTTTGTCAGGATGCGTGAACTCCATATCCTTCTGTTTTACCTCCGGAGAAACTACACAGGGATACTGGACCTGGACCCGGAGATCGTATTCAACGACCTCGTGGAGAAGGGTTTAGTCCGAGATACAGAGAAGAAGGAGTTTAAGAACTTTAAGGAAGGGTTTTTTGAAATAAAAATATATTTATGATTTTTGGGCAAAAGGAATTTGATTACTAATCACAAGCAGGCAACTCAACCAAGTTAATTTTAGCTCAATCCTTTAACTTAATTTATGAAGCTGCTATGTATGTAATTACAATAGTCCCTCCACAATCCACGGTAGTGCAACCTCATTGTGCGCCCCTATTCTTACTTGTACAATGTTCATTATTAGTCCTTCAGCATTAGTGAATTCTCGTTTCCAGAGAATGTTTAGATAAGATACATTGAGAATCTTTAATATTAGTTTTAGATATATTTTGAATTTACTAAACCAGCCTGGTTTTAGGTTTACAGTAAAGAGGTTAGTTGGAAGATGTTCATTCCTCCGTTACCTTTGCATTCAGGTAGCTAACGATTCTAATAAAGCGGCCCTTATCGGAGCCAAGAACTTTTGAAGTTTTAGTTGAGACTTTTGAATTTAAGAGCTTAGCTCGTTAGATAAAGAAATTTCCAATCCGTTTTAACTTTCAATCCTGAATTATGATTGATCAAGGTTGGGACAGAAAAATTTTAATGTAACAAGAAAACTTTCAGAAAAACTTGTAAACGTTACTTACCACAAAGCTATGTAAACCTTGTTGATATACAGGGTGTCCCAAAAAACATGGGAATTCAGTGACGAATTCGATATCGTCTTTTCAAATAATTCTTTGATTTAGTATAGTGATACCTACTGAGTAAGCTATAATCTGTAAGAGTTTCGTCTGCTATGTTTACATTTTGTTTGTTTATGTTTTGACTGCATACGGTTGTACTTAGTAAAACAAGAAAATTACAGTTTACAAACAGAGTGAACTTGTCCGTATTCACTGTTCATCTTGCGGAGACATTATAGACACATCTTTGCAGTCTTTTACCCTTTTCATAAAATAAATTCTAGCAGACATAATAATATTATGGCTTTTGAAATTATGTATTACAATGCTAATTAATAACAAAGACGATATCGAATTCGTCACTGAATTCCCATGTTTTTTGGGACATCCTGTATCTACAGATGTAACATATAATATGTCTTCATGAAATAAACATTTAAATTTAAAAGGTTTGCAGTTTCTAAACCTCTGATTGGTCGAATCTGTAAATATGTTGACTAATGAGGGACTGGTAAAAGGGAAGGTTAAAGAAAAGTTTAAATTAAACCCTATCCAATGACATATTTTAAAAGCTAAACAAAGCTAAAAAGTTTCCCGTATGACCGATCAGATATTTGGAAGTTTTACTCTGCAATTAAAACTGCGCAAAAACGTTTACACAAGTTTGAAACTGGTAATTTTACTTAACAAATATTAGATTATTATTATTTTCAAATAACTAAAAATTTTTAAGAAAACTGTTATCGGTGGTTAAGCTAGGTACAGATAGTGCTCATATCTACCTAACTATAGTTTTACGAATTCCGCAATTTATCAACTCCGACCTATGAGAAACTAACCTTTTTAGAAAAATTGAAAAATTATAATTTTATCTTTGGATTTGTCTTATATTATTAATGAAACTGATTCATTAATTATGATTAAAGGGACTGTAAGCTAATTTCAAGTGATCCTCCATGCAAAGGTACCCCTGAAACTTTTCACTAATAAAAAATGTGGAAGAAAATGTTCTTTTTTCTAGGCTTAAAAGGGTTAAGTTCTGATAATTTCTTAATGTTTTCTGTAGTAGAAATGCGTTAGTCATTTTTGTATAGCATCTTTAATTAAGAATAATCAGTTTTCGAAATTATTAACATTGATATCTAAGTTGAACATGACCAGACACAGTTTCAAGGTTACCGTTTTTAATCGAACATTGCTATCTTGGCACGGAGGGTCACTTGAAATTTCGTTTCCTGTCCCTTTACGTAGAAAATTTTGTGCTGAGGTCTATACGATATTGTTCAGGTTGGGATGAAGGTTGGGTTCTGATAACTGATGTTCTCCTTCGTCTTCCTCTCTCTGTCTTTGTGAAACTTGTTCATGTAACTCTAGAGATACCTGGTCTTCAGGACTTCTTGGAACATCCAGTCAAACAGCACCTTCTCATTAGGTAGGAGTAGGAGTAGGAGTAGGAGTAGGAGTAGGAGTAGGAGTAGGAGTAGGAGTAGGAGTAGGAGTAGGAGTTGGAGTTGGAGTTGGAGTTGGAGTTGGAGTTGGAGTTGGAGTTGGAGTTGGAGTTGGAGTTGGAGTTGGAGTAGCAATGGGAGTAGCAATGGGAGTGGGAGTTGGAGTGGGGGTGGGAGTTGGATTGTTGGAATGCTTATCACTCAAATTTAAAACCTTTCAGTCTCATCACATTATACTTTCTAGGTCCCTACCACACTATATCAGAGAGCAACTGTTGCATCAAAGAAAATATATCTTTACCGTGCACGAAGTTTCAACCAGGTTAAAAATAAATCAAAAATATCTTATTCGACATTTTCTGTTTTTCCTGAATTTTATCTTAATTTGGGGCGGGAAAAGGATTTAAAGCAATTTAAGACACTTGGTTTATTTTTCTGCCAAAAAATTTACATTTAATAAGATTTTTGAATTCTTGCTTTTAAGGTTGGCGTATATTGGGGCAGTACAGTTTGGACCCCAGAAACTGAAGGAGAAGGATCAAGTGTTTATTTACATCAATCAAAATACTAGTCTCACAGATACTACTTCAAGTATACCAGGTTACCATCAGGTGTGATACAGTCATAATCAGGAAAGACCTGGAATTAATTGACAGTCAATCACGCGACTTTACACATATATCTCTGGCAACTTTTTATGCTAAAAATTTCAAATTTGTCATATTGGTAAAAACATATTTATGTTTATCTACTATTTAGTAGTCTTTGGATATAAGGTATACATGATCTTCTTAACCTCTCCGTCCTGGCTTCAACATGATCTCATTAACCTCTCCGTCCTGGCTTTAACATGATCTCCTTAACCTCTCCGTCTTGGCTTCAACATGATCTTCTTAACCTCTCCGTCTTGGCTTCAACATGATCTTATTTACCTCTCCGTCCTGGCTTTAACATGATCTCCTTAACCTCTCCGTCCTGGCTTCAACAACTGTGAACAGATTCTGTTCGCTTAGGTTATGGTTGTGGAGAGGAATATTTCTCGGAAACAGGGTTCTATGGGTTGAATGTATCCTAGAAAGGATATGCTATTGTATTGTTTAGATCTGCAAGGATGAAATGTATCCTAGAAATGATATATATATTATTGTATTGTTTATATCTGCAAGAATGGGGTGTATCATAGAAAGGATATATTATTGTATTGTTCAGATCTGCCAGGAGGGTTTGTATCCTAGAAAGAATATATAACTATAATGTTTAGATCTGTAATGAGGGGGTGTGTCCTAGAAAGATTTTATTATTGTATTGTTTTGATCTGAAAGAATAGTGTGTATCCAAGAAAGGATATATTACTGTAATGTTTAGAATTGCAAGGGGGGTGGGTGTGTATCCTAGAAAGGAAATATTATGCATTGTCTAGGTTTGCAAGGAGGTTGTGTAACCTAGAAAGGACATATTATTGCATTGTTTAGTTCTGCAATAAGGGTGTTTATCCTAGAAAGAATATAGTATTGTATTGTTGCCAGGAGGGTCTGTATCCTAGAAAGAATATAGTATTGTACTGTTTAGATCTGCAAGGAGGGTTTGTATCCTATTTAGAATAAAATATTGTATTGTTTAGATCTGCAAGGAGGGTTTGTATCCCAGATAGAAAATATTATTCTATTGTTTAGATCTGCAAGGAGGGTGTGTATCCTAGAAAGGATTATAAACTAAAATGTCTGGTAGATGTAGAACACTACTGGTATGATATGTGGGAAATATGTTTGAATACACCCCTAGGAGAATCCAGTACGCTCTCAGGACAGGAGATAACCCTTGAGGTATCTACAGATTAATATTCGACATAAAAAAGGATAATTGTGAATGGAAGAGATATAAATTAAGAAATAGGTGAATAATAAATGGATAAGTGAATAATTGAACAAGTCAGTGAATAATCGAATAAATAAGGAAACAAATGAATAGATAAGGGAATAAGTAGATGGATAAGTGACTAATTGAATAAATAATTAAAAAAATAAAAGGTAAAAGAATAGATAAGTTAATAATTAAATAAATAATGGAACGAACTAATGAACAAAAAATTAACAAGAAGATTGCAGTGATAACTAGAAAACAATGGAATAGGATGACGACACTAAAGCAATACTAGTTTAGTGAAACTTGTCTGTTTATTCTGCAAAATTGTTGTGTCTCATGCATTGGACGTTTTAAAAGGTAACTTCGGTTCTTAAAGTTGTCTTCCTATTTCAGAGTGTTCTGGATATCACTAACTAAACAGAAACAAAAGCAAAAACTGAATAAATAATAAATAAAATTGTGAAGGTGATGGATCGTAAACCTGAGATGATTGCTGCTCTGTCTCCTCGTCTTGCTACTGAAGCTCCAGTTCAGGATCTTGGTCATATTCCTGGAGATGGTCTAGGGGCTGCAGGTAGGGAGTTGCTCATAGAAGTTACGTGCGTTTGCCGCGTTTAATTACAATGAAGAGAGAGATTAGTATATATTTTAGGGTTATGTTAGGTTAGGTTAACTCACTGAATGGGCCTAGCGCTGCGGCTAGGACAGGCTAGGGGCCGAGCGCCGCGGCTAGAACAGGCTCTCTGTCTTGTAATTCAACGCGGCATGAGTATGTAACTTCCTTGGGCTGCAGGTATACAAGAGAACAGATTGGATAGATGGATACAGAGGGAACCATAAAACTTTGGAATAGGCAATCTTATATTAGCGTTTATGATGGTGGTATTCAGCAAATTATTTTACTAAACGATCAGAAAAAGTAATTATGGGAAATAAAAATGAAATGACGTTTTCCGTGTGCATCAGATTATTTGAAATCATATTCCCCAGGTTTAAGAGTCCCGGAACCGAATTTAATGAATTAAATATGTTGCTGAACTATCTACCGCTGCCACCGGTCCAAATCCTGAATCAACAATTCAAATCCTCATGGATCTTGATTCATGGATTTAAGATTTGAACCGGCGGTAAGTAGATCAGCGACATAGCTCAAATTTACAAATTTTTAAGTATTTTTTGTGTATTTATGGGGATATTGCACGGTTACAAGTTAGAGCAAGGATTAAGAGTAAAATTATTTTGAGTTAGTAGTATTGCAAATTGCAATAATAAAAATAATAATTTTTTTTTCAAAATAAATATATTGCTAGGGCTAGACTCTTCTATATTTGCTCACCTGAAGAGAAATTGGTCTTGGAATGCAGGATTGAAAAGAGGAGAGAAGGTGGAGAAATTAACTAAACCTCCATTTTGTATCTTACTTCTTCAAGATGAAAGGTATTAATCTCCATTCTGTATCTCATTTCTTCAAAATGTAAGGTTTAAACCTCTATTCTCTATCTCACTTCTTCAAGATGAAAGGTTTAAACCTCTTTCTCACTTCTTCAAGATGAAAGGTATTAATCTCCATTCTGCATCTCACTTCTTCAAGATGAAAGGTTTAAACCTCCATTGTGTATCTCACTTCTTCAAGATGGAAGATATTAACCTCTATTCTCCATCTCATTTCTTCAAGATGAAAGGTATAAACCTCCATTCTGTATCTCACTTCTTCAAGAATAAAGTATAAAACTCCATTCTGTATCTCACTTCTTCAAGAATAAAGTATAAACCTCCATTCTGTATCTCACTTCTTCAAGAATAAAGTATAAACCTCCATTCTGTATCTCACTTCTTCAAGAATAAAGCATAAACCTCCATTCTGTATCTCACTTCTTCAAGATGAAAGATATAAACCTCTATTCTTCATCTCATTTCTTCAAAATGAAAGGTATAAACCTCCATTCTGTATCTCACTTCTTCAAGATGAAAGGTATAAAACCTCAATTCTTTATCTCATTTCAAGATGAAAGGTGTAAACCTCCATTCTCTATCTCACTTCTTCAAGATAAAAGGTATAAACCCTCCCACGGGATGATGATTGACCATTTTATTTATTTATTTATTCTATTTCTCACTACTTAAATATTACTATTATGAATCTGTGTCTAAACTTCTGAAGATATGAGATGGAATTTAAAGAATTTGAGCCGCGGTTTAAATCTGCCAAAACCCAGTTTAAATTAAGCGCCGGCTTAAATCTTGATACATATTTGATACAATTTTAAGTGGAACCAACCATATTTAAGCAGCGGCTTAAATTTAAACCGCCACTCAAATTCTTTAAATTCGGTCAATGGTTTACTATGAAATACCTAGATACTGGATACTATTCTTACAAATTTGTTTAGAACCAATTCCCTTGATTTGGGAGAAGCTACAGAGGGTTCCTCAATAAGAGTTACTACGGTATTATTATTACTTTTTTATTGTTATTATTGTTATTATTGTTGTCATTGTCGTCATTGTCGTCGTCCTCGGCAGTGTCCTCATCCTCATACTCATCGTCATTGTCATTGTTATTGTTCTTGTTCTTGTTATTATTTTCATTTTTTCATTACTTGTATTGTTATTGTGATTGTTTAGGCTGGTAACCGAGCTGGTGACAAGAAAAGGAAAAAGTCTGGTGAAGCGGAGATCCCTGCACCTAAGAAAGTTATCGTTAAGGTTTGTTAATTTTAAATAAGGATTTAAGAATAAAATTTTATTTATCTTTTTAATTATAAGCATCATATCTGAAATTGTATAGAGAGGGTACAGGGTGAACCATCAAATATGTAAATATACTGTTCAGGAGGGTATAGGGTGAACCATCAAATATGTAAATATACTGTTTAGGAGGGTATAGGGTGAACCATCAAATATGTAAATATACTGTTTAGGAGGGTATAGGGTGAACCATTAAATATGTAAATATACTGTTCAGGAGGGTACATGGTGAACCATCAAATATGTAAATATACTGTTCAGGAGGGTACAGGGTGAACCATTAAATATGTAAATATACTGTTTAGGAGGGTACAGGGTGAACCATTAAATATGTAAATATACTGTTTAAGAGGGTACAGGGTGAACCATCAAATATGTAAATATACTGTTCAGGAGGGTACAGGGAGAACCATTAAATATGTAAATATACTGTTCAGGAGGGTACAGGGTGAACCATCAAATATGTAAATATACTGTTCAGGAGGGTACAGGGTGAACCATTAAATATGTAAAAATACTGTTTAGGAGGGTACAGGGCGAACCATTAAATATGTAAATATACTGTTCAGGAGGGTACAGGGAGAACCATTAAATATGTAAATATACTGTTCAGGAGGGTACAGGGATGTAAATATACTGTTTAGGAGGGTACAGGGCGAACCATTAAATATGTAAATATACTGTTTAGGAGGCTATAGGGCGAACCATCAAATATGTAAATATACTGTTTAGGAGGGTATAGGGTGAACCATTAAATATGTAAATATACTGTTCAGGAGGGTACAGGGAGAACCATTAAATATGTAAATATACTGTTCAGGAGGGTACAGGGTGAACCATTAAATATGTAAATATACTGTTTAGGAGGTTACAGGGCGAACCGTCAAATATGTAAATATACTGTTTAGGAGGGTACAGGGCGAACCATTAAATATGTAAATATACTGTTTAGGAGGGTACAGGGCGAACCATTAAATATGTAAATATACTGTTCAGGAGGGTACAGGGCGAACCATTAAATATGTAAATATACTGTTCAGGAGGCTATACAGGGAGAACCATTAAAGATGTAAATATACTGTTCAGGAGGGTACAGGGTGAACCATTAAATATGTAAAAATACTGTTTAGGAGGGTACAGGGTGAACCATTAAATATGTAAATATACTGTTTAGGAGGGTACAGGGCGAACCATTAAATATTTAAATGTACTGTTCAGGAGGGTACAGGGTGAACCATCAAACATCAAATATGTAAATATACTGTTAAGGAGGATAATTAAATATGTAAATATACTGTTTAGGAGGGTACAGGGCGAACCATTAAATATGTAAATATACTGTTTAGGAGGCTATAGGGCGAACCATCAAATATGTAAATATACTGTTTAGGAGGGTATAGGGTGAACCATTAAATATGTAAAAATACTGTTTAGGAGGGTACAGGGCGAACCATTAAATATTTAAATATACTGTTCAGGAGGGTACAGGGTGAACCATTAAATATGTAAATATACTGTTTAGGAGGGTACAGGGAGAACTATCAAATATGTGCGTGTAGTTGGAAAACGGAAAACTAATGTAGAGCGTAAGCCCTACTATGATGAGAAGGATAAGGCTGCACTGCGGCTGATGAGAAAGCTACGGGTTGATTGGTCTCCACGAGAAGATAGTTTTCTACTGCTCTGTAAGGTTGCTGGTACATATCTATGCAGTAACACAAGGTATTACAAGGATTAATTAAATATTCGGGTCATATTGAAGGTTAAAACCAGTGTTTCGGATCCGTATCATTTTGATGCGGATCCGGATCCGCGGATCCGCATCCGTGATGATGGATCCGGATCCTGACTCTGATACGGATCCGGATCCGAGGTAACTTTTGATTCTGTGAATCGGATTTTCCCTATTAAATGTTATGCAAGGTTATAATTTATAAACTATATTTATTATATATTCCGAAATGTAACAAAAAAAATATAGACTTTTTGGAGTAATCCTTTGGACAGGCCGATCAATCACTTCTTGAAGAGATAGTCGCTGTTAGCCTTGAGAAGGAGAAGGGCTTTCAAATTTTCGTCATGTAAATAATACATTTACGAACCATTTTGATTTATTTATTCCATGGTTTTGATTAATTTTTGGCGCTACCCGGATCCATATCAACGTTTCCTGATACGGATCCGGATCCGGAACACTGGTTAAAACTTTTGAACAGAGAAATCTAATTATATTTTTCACAAGCTTTGTATCTACTTCTTTTCTAACCCGACTAAAGATGGCTGAACAGAACTTATTTAAATATACCAATTCTTTTAAAAATGTTACGGGTTTATGAATTGATTAGAATAGTTCAGAAATTAATGACCATTCTAGGTAATTAACCCAGACATAATTGAATGTTGTAAAGAAGAGCCTGTTAAAAATAAGTTTTTATAAAAAGAAAAAGGGTCTCGTTGGAGGTCAACAGGTGGGTCAATCTGCTAAACAATCCAGAGATGATTTAATGGATGCACTGTACAAGGATTAGAAGATTTAAGCCTAAAAGATTTTTCAGAAGAAATTCTGCGTCAATGCATTTTCGAAGTAAATTATTTATACAATTAATATGTGTACAATGCAATGTACATAAAAACTATAATAATCAAGAGAGATTCATTAATTTAAAAAAGCAATAAAACTCAAATATCCGGGAAAACATTTTAGAATAAAATAACTTTGTTTTACTTTGACTTTGATTTAGAAGTAGCTTTGTTACTTGAAATAGATATTAACAGAATTTTCTGTTCAAGAGTTGGTAGTTCACGTTAACCCTGATCAGGGTCGGGTTGGTTAGAGGGAGAACGCCAGCCCCCCAACCCCCTAGAATATATATTCGTTTTCTAACAGATCAACAATTTTATGATATTTTATCAATTTCTTTAAAATTTCTAGTTTTTCTTATAACTGGTTTTTTTTTTTGGGGGGGGGGTAAGCAATGACTGCAAGAGGGGTAAACTAAACATTCACCTCTAATACGCCCCTGACCAAGATATTTTAACAATTTTTTAACTATTTATGGAGTAAAAATAAACATTGATTGACCCATGATTTAAAACTTTCAATTTTCATGTGCTTTTTTAATAAATCCATTATTTGCAAACTCGATGTAAAAATGTTTTAGAACTCAGATGGTGCAGTACACCAGCGTGCGTGATCTTCTTCACACTTACTTCCCTGAGTCCAGTAATAAAACCAGCCGGGCCTGCCAGCGCAGATTGAACTACATGATGAAGAACGGTACAACGGCGGATAATGTAGCTTTATTCCTGGCAGACGTACAACAGGTCAGGAGTCGGAGTATTAAAGAAACTGTTCAGAAATTTAGATGAGTTCAGATAAGTTTAGACTTTTAGATGATATTAGTTTAGATGTGTTCAGGTGTGTTCAGATGTTTTTAGATTTAACATATGTTCAGTTCAGATGTGATGCGTTTAGACATTTTAGACGTAGAAAAATGTGTTCACTGTTAGAATATTTAGATGTATTCAGATTTATTAAGATGTTCAGTAGGGTTTTTCTATGTTTCGAAGTGTTAAGATGTGTTTAGATCCGTTTAGGTGTGTTGAGATGTGTTTAGATCCGTTTAGGTGTATTGAGATGTGTTTGATATTGAGATGTTTAGTAATTGATACCTGATACTTTGTCTAAATTTCTGAACAGCCCTTGATAAATGATCATTGATCAAAGACCAATACGAAGATTAAAGATTGACCTTTGTATTTAGGATGAGGAGCTAGTCAGTAAATTTCCACGAGCTGCTCAGGGTTCAGAGACCAGGCTTGTAACTGAGACTAGATTAGAGAAAGAGTTTAGTGAACTAGTTGATCTTCTTATTGCTAAACACAGGGATAATCCAAACGGAGAAACAGAACTAAACCTTCCTGACTCTATGGAAGATATTCTGAAACAGTATAGAATCACATATCCAAGTGACTCATCCTTAAACAAACTCGGGTTCACTGAGCCCAAGGAGGTTAGTGATATTCACGAGTCCGTCTTGAATACGTTGGTCACCTCCAGCCTGTGCACGGCCTCAGACAGGAGGTCATGGACGTTCCAGTTGTTCAAGATCTACCAACAGTACCCGGATTCTTTACTCCGCAAGGTGATGGCAAACCTGAGAGAGAATAAGATGGTTTCCCTGAAGAAACAGTACAATAAGAACAAGGTGAAGCAAGGGAACTACCTCCCTCTCTCCTCTAGCCCGTATCAGCTCTCCGTCACTTTCTCCCACACATTTCTCAACCGCTATCAGTACGATATCTACTCCCAGTCCTGGCAGATGCTGAAGGTGTTCCTGCGGAACCCTGATCAGTACACAGATATCCATGTAGGGCAGGAGGGAGGTTTTACAGCTGCCGTAGTCTCGCTACTAGCCAGAGAACAGCTGCTGTTCCGAACTGAAGTTCCAGAACAGCTGGTTGTTCTGGATCCAGGATTGTCTGCAGTAGATGAGAACTATGTGAGGATACTACAGAGATACAAGGAGCTGCTACGGAATGCCGGTGGAATAGATCCAAGTGATGTCGACTATGCCAAGTCTCCAACTAAGCTGACCAGCACATCTCTCTTCACTAAACGAGGTGCAGAGAGGAATAGTAAGGATGAAGAGGACGTTGAGCAGAAGAATAAAGGAGAGGATAATGATAAAGATGATGATGATGATGATAATGTGGTAAGGACTGAAGATGCTTGTGCAGAGGAGAAACCTGGAGCAGATCTTCAGAATCAAATTGTTTTCCAAGAAGGATCTGACACAAGGTTGGAATATGTTTTTATTTATTTCACAAGTTTTGTTATTAAATATTTGAAGCTTTGGAAAGAAAAAAAAAATCATGATAAACGACATGTTAACGACAATTATTCAAAACAATAACAATATTAAATCTAAAATGATAAAAAATTTTCAGCAGCATACCAAAAATCAAATGTATTCTTAAAACGTTTAATGAGTGTTTCCCTTCCCTTAAAGGGATTGTCGACGTAATTTCAATTGACCCTCTGTTTAAAGAGTGGTTCAAAATACAGTACCCTTTAAACCTTAATTTTAAAGATGCATCGTTGTTCTAGCAAATTGTTAAATTCTGGAATTTTCCTCCATTGTTTCTGAGGCAGAATTTCGCAAGTCGCTTAATAAAGAAAATGCAATTGAAAATTATCAGTAAATCAAGAAAATTAATAATATCTCAGACAATTTTGATCTTATAAAGCTTTTAAGTATACCGTTGTCAATCGGACATGTCTCTCTTTTAAATGGAGGGTCCCTTGAAATTTTGCTATCTGTTCCTTATTCTAGAAGTAACACCGCCCTGGCCAAGTCAGCTAGTCGGATAGCGCTGTACATGATGAGAGAGGAAATGCGGGAAAGTCCTCTAGACTCCGGGGACCCAATTCAACACTCACATGACTTCTTTGTGATCTCCTCCTGCTCAATAGCAGGGAAACTGTTGTGTCAGGGACAGGTAGAGGAGCAGAGGCTGGTCAAATACTCCGGCATAGAGATACCGGTCAACCGGTTACCTGGAGATGTGAACGCGTATGAACGAGTTCTGAAAAGGTTTGGATTGAATCTTCACGGGAATTCGGTTCACACCGGTTCTTTGGCTGACAAGGCTGCATACGTTCCCTTAGAGAACAACATCGAGGACTTCCACAAGGACCTCTTGGAGATTCATGATGTTGATTTAGATGACCTTGAAGCATTCATGAACTTAATTGATGAGAAGAAGGAGTTGGGAATAACAATACAGGAGTTAAGAGAGTCTCATCTCCTGGATAAAGATAAGATTAAGAAACTGCTCCAGTTCACTTTGGAGAAATGTTTAGTTCTCGATGTTGGGATTGTTAAGACTAGATTTGTTTCGCATAAATTTTGTAAATCCTGGTTGATTCACAGCTACAAGCTCAACAGGGTTCGAGACCTGGAGAAGATGCAGAAGGTTCAGTTTGCAGGAAAACTTTACCAGGGTCACGGGCCCAAGGAGAAAGAAGAAGAGAAGGAACCTGAACCTGAACCTGAAGGGACCGATGGTCGACGCACTTCCCGTCGTATATCTCGGAAGAATAGTCTTGATGCTGCGGTGGGAGGAGAGGATATCAGTGTCGACCACAGAGCCAGGAATCCCCAGGTATATTTTCAATATTACATTTTAGAAATGTTCTCATTAACTTGGTCTATAACAGGTATTTCCCCAGGTCCTAATCTAGGTTTTACCTTGTTTAAATTCTCCTTAATCTAACCCTGATCTTAATCTAGTTCTCCAGGTCCTAATCTTATCCAGATCTTTATCTATTTCTCCAGGTCCTAATCCAACCCTGATCTTAATCTAGTTCTCCAGGTCCTAATCCAACCCTGGTCTTAATCTAATTCTCCAGTTCCTAATCTTATCCTGATCTTAATCTATTTTTCCAGGTCCTAATCCAACCCTGATCTTAATCTAGTTCTTCAGGTCCTAATATAACTCTGATCCTAATCTAGTTCTCCAGGTCCAAATCTAACCCTGATCTTAATCTATTTCTTTAGGTCTTAATCTTATCCTGATCTTTATATATCTAGGTCCTAATCTAACCCTGATCATAATTTAGTTTTTCAGGCCCTTATCTTATCCTGATCTTAATCTAGTTCTCCAGTTCTCAATCTAACCCTGATCTTAATCTAGTTCTCCTGGTCTTAATCTTATCCTGATTTTAATCTAATTCACTAGGTTCTTATCTAACTCTGATGATAATCTAGTTCTCCGGGTCCAAATCTAACTCTGATCTTAATTCAGTTCTCCAGGTCCTAATCTAACCCTAATCTTAATCTAGTTCTTCAGGTCCAAATCTAACACTGATCTTAATCTATTTCTTCTGGTCCAAATCTAAAACTGATCTTAATCTAGTTCTCCGGGTCCTAATCTAATCCTGATCTTAATCTAGTTCTTCAGGTCCAAATCTAACACTGATCTTAATCTATTTCTTCTGGTCCAAATCTAAAACTGATCTTAATCTAGTTCTCCAGGTCCTAATCTAACCCTGATGATAATCTAGTTCACACAGGGATAATCCAAA